TGGGCGTATCGTCGCGAAGACACGTTGATAGTGTAGGAAGCCATAGCTCGAAACACGAAAGGTAGGCGTACGATCGGCGTAGGTGTAGGGTCTAAAGGGAAGGAGAGAGAAGAAGAAGAAGAAGAAGAAGAAGAAGAAGAAGAAGAAGAGAGGAAGAGAGAGCCTTCTCTCTCTTCTCTAAACATCATATCGATTTCGGCGACGACGGTTACTCGTCGTTCCGCGGCTACACATGAATGGCAGGTGCATGTCTCGACCGCTTATGCGAAACTGAACCCGCATAGTGTCGGGGAATATCGCGTGGAGATAGGATCGAATTACCGGGAAAGTGTTCGCTCGCTTTTGGTCAATGTTTAACTGACGATCGTCAACAAACATCGCGGATTTTACGTTTTACCTGTAGCTGTGCCAACTCTCGCGATATAAACCCGTTACAAACTACGCTCGCGCATTCGTATCGAGCACGTTTCGACTCAATGAACAATTACACGAATCAATTAATAATTTTAAATTATAATTTATCAGATAAAAATATCATTATAAATATCACTATAAAAATCGATATAGTTTATTTTTACAATCTCGCGTGTGCTGTATACCACTGTGACGTTCGATCAGTTCCGTGAAATTCATCCAAAGGCATGAAACTTTTCTTGTACACATACTTTTTGTATACGCCATACTTTCTTGTATGTACTTTTTCTGTATATACACATGTATCGTACGTATATGTACTGTGGATACGTGAAAACGAGTTGCTTCTGCACACGTACAAGAAATATCTGAGAGAGAGAGAGACAAAAAAAAAAAAAAAGAATATAAAACTATAAAAATTCTCTTTGTCTGCAATTTTACAAAAAAAAATTCAGATAACGAGCGTTTACTTTGTTTTTGTCGGGAAGAAAAATGTTTTAAAAATTAAAACGTTTGCTTTGATAAAAAAAAAAAAAAAAAAAAAAAAAAAGAAACTAGACAAAACTCCGCACAGAATTGCAAGAAGGTCAAAAAAAAAAAGATGCACTTCCTACAGGATGCACAAAAGTGAAACGACAAGAGAGCCAACGCCTTAGCATCGTTTCGTGAAATTTTGTGGACACATGAGTTTGCAGAGAAATAGAGTGATAAACGTAGCAAAAATCTTTTAGATATACTTTTATAAGATGCACACAAAAAACGGGAAATTGAGAAAATTACACCGAGACACAAAACTAAATAACAAATACCGAGACGTAGAAACGTTTCTCTCCGATACTCTCATTCCCGTCTTTATTTATACGAAGCAGAATTACCGACTGTATTTCTGTGCTGCGTGTGTTGTGGATAATCAAAGAAAATTCCGCACAAAATTCAGTCAGATCACAGAAAAAAAAAAAATTCACTTCTTTCTGTAAGGACGTGGCGCAGAGAAGCGCAACATGAGCCAACGCCTTCGTATCAAGCCCTCGTGATTGTTATCGACTCGCAGAGTCTGGTACCTGGGACAAGTTTCTTTAAGCGTAGTTTAGTTTCGGTAGGAGGCTTTAGCGAGCAAAAGCGCGAGCGATATATTTAGGTATATCCAGCGATTTCCGGTTTCTCCTCGAGGGTGGAGGCTCTGCTCGCGGCAACGCCTCTTCTGTGTGACACGTCAATGTTAGATACAGTTGAAAACTAAGCCGTAGGTAGATCGCGCAATAAAACAGAGGAAATAACGAATATCGGCTTCCTCGTAGCCGCGAAGCGGTCACGGGAAGACGCGGAAAAGCAGAAGCGGAAAAGCGAAACGGAGAGAGATGCGACTCCGCCTAGTCGCGCGCGGGAGAGGCACCTCACTCTGGGTAAACACACTGCGGGAGATGCACCACTACCACCACCACCACTACTATCAGCGGCACCGTGTTATATACGATCAACACCCCGCGCGCGCCACCCACCTCCTCCACCGACACAACGAGAGAACGTCTCTTTCCTGTGTTTCCTGTCACTCCGATTTTTTGTCGGTATTTCTCCAACTAAATTTCTCCTTTCTGTCTCGGCATCCCTCTAACTGTCTCTCTCTTTCTCTCTCTCTCTTCTTTCTCTTATATATTTTATATATTAATTACATTCTTATCTTCCGTCAACCCTCTTTTTACTCGTCCGCGTGATTCACACTCGATGACTCACACTCATCGACACGGTGGATGCCGCCACCCTCTTCGGCTTCCTCGACATCTGGCGGAATAAACCGGTGCCGCGATCGGGTGACACTCTCCCGATAGAGTATCGGGCACTTCTTCTACGTATATCTGTGACCCGAGGGTACCGCGAACGAGGGTTCTCGCAACGACACTATCGCGACGAGGAAGACGAAGGACAGTTGATGGGAGCGCCGCGTGCGAAAGTCAGAGAGGAGGCCGCGGGGCGGTGGCGATGGCGAGGTGTGAGGGCGGCGAGGCTGGGGTTATACGGCCTCCGTGGTAGCTTAAGAGGAAGGGGATGAGGTACGGTATCCACCCTGTTTTCCAAAAAGAGAGAGAGAGAGAGAGCAAAGATAGGGAGGGAGAGGGAGAAAGAGAGAGAGAGAGAAAGAGAGAGAGAGAGAGAGAAAGAGAAAGAGAAAGAGAGACTCTCACAAGACCCACCAAGAGACGCGACGAACAATCGAGGAGCTACCCGGGTGCCGTTTTCGACGGCACCCTCGTTTGCCGTTGCTGCTGTTGTCGCTGCTGTTGTTCGCCTCGTCGTCCACTCGGTTCGTCCTCTTGTGCCGGTAGCTGGCGACGGCTCGCCGTTGCAATCACGCTTCCGGTCTTTCGCGGGAAATTCTCGCGGACGACGTAGCCATGGATACTGCAGGATCCGGCAGGGAGAGGCGACTGCCCCGTCGCGCGCGCACCCCGTCGCTACCCTCCGTCCGCGCACCCTCTTGCCGTGATGCGCGCCCCACGGCCGAAAATGT